TTGATTTTGCATTATAAGAAAACATCAGGGCCGGCGCCGTGGCTCACTAGGCTAATCCTCCGCCATGTGGCGCCGGCACACCGGGTTCTAGTCCCAGTCGGGGTGCCAGATTCTGTCCCGGTTGCCCCTCTTCCAGGCCTGCTCTCTGCTGTGGCCAGGGAATGCAGTGGAGAATGGCCCAAGTGCTTGGGCCCTGCACCCCATGGGAGACCAGGATAAGTACCTGGCTCCTGCCATCGGATCAGCACGGTGCGCTGGCCACAGCGCACTGGCCGCGGCGGCCATTGGAGGGTGAACCAATGGCAAAGGAAGACCTTTCTCTCTGTCTCTCTCTCTCTCTGTCCACTCTGCCTGTCAAAAAATAAAATAAAAGAAAAGAAAAAAAAAAGAAAACATCAGAGTTCACTCATGTTCTTAAAGATTTATATTCTTGGATGTTGAGCAAGCCAATTAAATTTGAAATTTCAGTATTTAGGAATGAGCTTTGCACTTCTTTCAAGCTAGGTTTTAGGGATTATACCAGAAGCCTTTTTTTCTTTAGTCTCTGGTGTAGTGCTGTTCAATCAGACTTCCTGCAATATGCTGTATCTGTGCTATCAAGTATAGTAGCTACTAGCCACATATACCTGTTGAGCACTTGAACTATGGCTAGTGAAACTGACCAACTGAAATTTAAATGTATTTAATGGTAATTAGTGCCTCTCATACTGAACAGCACAGCACTATGATGTGTGTGTGCATAGGTACGTGTGTGTGTGTGCATGTGTTAAATGCATATGCACATTGTGTAGGGAAAATGGGGGCAAAAAGTATAGGAGAGGGAGTGAGAGACCATTTCAGATGATGGGATGCTGTTCTTACTTCTCTAGATCTATATGAAGTGCAATTTGTACAATCCAAGAAACCTTTTTCTACTTTGGCTTTTTATGAAAATTCTATTTTGTATTAGGATATCCACTTTATATCCTAGATAACATATTGTTAAAATAAGTGTATGTTTTTCAGTTAAATCAGATATTCCTAGTTCATTAAGTGTGATGCACCAGTTAAATTTTATTATCTGTCCTTAAAATGTTTTGTTGCAACAATCTCTGAATGCAAATTGTGAAACATCTGATATATAGATCTTTTCAATTCTGCATTTTTAGTAAAGTGATATTCTTTAGAAACACGAGTTCCCTACTTTCTGTTTGAACTTGTATAAATTGTCTGCTTTCAGTCTTAACTTCACTGTGAAACAAAATGAACTTTGTATAGTCTTTTTATGAGAATGAGCTTAGATAGCAAATTATATTAAGCACCTAATATGTATGTAACTAAGAATAATAATGAAGATCAAAATAGCTTGGTGCTTGTATTTAGCTATGAATTCAGAATCTATATAGCAGATATTTTATGTTTATAATTAAGTAATAACATATTCTACCCTTTAAGCTAATTTTTTAAACTTTTATTTAGCAAATATAAATTTCCAAAGTACAGCTTATGGATTACAATGACTTTTTTCCCCCCGTAACTTCCCTCCCACCTGCAACCCTCCCAACTCCAGCTCCCTCTCCTATTCCATTCACATCAAGATTCATTTTCAATTCTCTTTATATACAGAAGATCAGTTTAGCATATATTAAGTAAAGATTTCATGAGTTTGCACCCACACAGAACATAAAGTGTAAAATACTGTTTGAGTACTAGTTATAGCATTAATTCACATTGAACAACACATTAAGAACAGAGATCCTACATGAGGAGTAAATGCACAGTGACTCCTGTTGTTGACTTTACAAGTTGACACTCCTTTTTATGGCATCAGTAATCTCCCTAGGCTCTTGTCATGAGTTGCCAAGGCTATGGAAGCCTTTTGAGTTCGCTGACTTTGATCTTATTTAGACTAGGTCATAGTCAAAGTGGAGGTTCACTCCTCCCTTCAGAGAAAGGTGCCTTCTTATTTGATGGCCCATTCTTTCTACTGGGATCTCACTCGCAGAGATCTTTCATTTAGGTGTTTGTTTGTTTGTTTTGCCAGAGTGTCTTGGCTTTCCAAGCCTAAAATACTCTCATGGGCTCTTCAGCCAGATCCGAATGCCTTAAGGGCTGATTCTGAGGCCAGAGTGCTGTTTAGGACATCTGCCATTCTATGAGTCTGCTGGGTATCCTGCTTCCCCCATGTTGGATCATTCTCTCCCTTTTTTATTCTATCAGTTAGTATTAGCAGACACTAGTCTTGTTTATGTGATCCCTTTGTCTCTTATACCTATCAGTATGATCAATTGTGAACTGAAATTGATCACTTGTACTAGTGAGATGGCATTGGTACATGCCACCTTGATGGGATTGAATTGGACTCCCCTGGCACATTTCTAACTCTACCATTTGGAGCAAGTCAGCTTGAGGCTGTCCCAAATTGTATATCTCTTCCCTCTCTTATTCCCACTCTTATATTTAACAGAGATCACTTTCAGTTAAATTTAAACACCTAAGAATAATTGTGTGTTAATTACAGAGTTCAACCAATAGTATTAAGTAGAACAAGAAAAATACTAAAAGGGATAAAGTATTAAATTGTACATCAACAGTCAGGACAAGGGCCAATCAAGTCACTGTTTCTCATAGTGTCCATTTCATTTCAACAGGTTTCCTTTTGGGGGCTTGGTTAGTTGTCATTATTTTTTAAATTTAAATTTATATTTATAAATAGTAACAATTATTTTAATTTTGAATTTTTTCCTATCCTCTTTAAAAGAAAGCAATACTTGTTTAGTAGCATAAAGGAATGGAAATGATTGATATGACTTTCTTATTCCCCACATTTATATAGTATAAATATTTCTAGAAAATAGTATTGCTTTAACAGATTGCATATATGTTGGAAAATGACATGGTAGTATGACTCTTCTTTTATTGTTTTTAAATAATGAGACATCTTTCAGAATTTAATAAGCAGTAAAGGATACATTATTTAAACCAGTGCCTTTACCAATTAAAGGTACCAGCTTCAAAGTTTCTCTTAATTTTTTTATACCATAGTCAATGGATACAACTTGCTTTGTTTTAGTATTCAACTATATATTCATATATGGCATTGCAACATTTATTAAATATAAAAATTATACATTCATTAATTTTATTGACTTTTGCTCTTTTTATTATCTCCTGATGTAAATATTTTATTTGTATAAAGGTACAGTTGCAAGACTCATTAACTTGTTTCTTATGGAAATGTTCTCTTTACTTGTAGGGCATTAATACAAGCCATTAAGCTAGAATTTCTTCTGGCAAAAACAATCCTAGCAGATGGCAACTTTTCTCTCTATTAATTTTGGATTGAACATGTATTTTGGCTTGTTTAGTCATATCATGGTTGTAACATGAATCATTCAAGCAAATGCAATGATAATATAACTATGCAGACATATATATATATGTAATATATATATATAAACACTATGCAAATTTATATCCCAGCCTATTGATACTACATAAAGACCTATATGATTTCTTGTTGTACATAGGAAGATTAAATAATCCAGAAAGGAATAAGCTTCATAAATAACTCATTTGGTATGTTCTTTTAAGATAATGCCGAGCTTATGGCAAATATTTAGTCAGTGGTCCAAGTGTTTCATCTTGAAATTTGAACATTTATAGAAATTGGATTAATTTATTCAATTATCCTTTAAATGTCTATTTTAATGTTATAAACAACCTCCATCATCCTCTGTAAAGCATGCAACCTTTCATTTTTGAAGCTTGTTCTGAGATAACAATAAAGCTGCAAGAAAAACAACTTGAATGTGTAAGATGTAGGTTTGAAAGTAAAAGCAGTATGCCTTTTAATCCACTCTCCCTATCTTGAAAAAGAAAATGACTCTATGTAAGAATAGTCTGGAGAAGTTAAAACCAAATCCATTGACAATGTGTTTCTCTCATAATAACTGTTGGTTTATTTGTGCTGCTTTCTATATATGCTTAACATCTTTACAAAATCTGATACTTTCTAGAAGTCCCATTGTTGTCAGCTCTTTAAGCACTCTACTACTCATTACATTCTTTAGAAATAAATCAATTTAAATGTGCAGCTCTTCAGTTAAGCTACTAGTCAGTTGCCTTATATTTCAGTTGCATTTTCCAAATATGCTATTCAGTAATAATGTACGGAGCATCTGGCAATTATCATTTTATTGATTCCATTCAAACTTGAAAAGTCTAGAGAATAAGTCCCCTTTTTAGTAGGAAACCTCAAAATCAGAAGGTAAGAAAAGTAAAACTTATGTTTTAGTATCAATATAATTAATACAGTTCCCTTGAAATAAAGCCCATATATGTCCTTTGTTATGCCTTATATGACTTTATTATTGTATACATTAGTAGTGATGTCACAATATCTTGTAGTTGATGTTAATTCATTTCAATTATTTTTTCATACCTCACAGATTAATTTATCTTAATTATAGTTTTTAATCCTCTATATATTTTGTGCAAAGTCATCCCAAAAAGAGAGAGTGTATAAATCAACATAATAATTTCTCCAAGTTATCACTGTTCCCTGTTTAAAAAGTATGGTACTTTTATAACTTTATTAGATTTATTTTAGAAAAGTGTTTATAACTGTGTAGAATTGAGGCCAAGTGCACTCTGAGGACAGCTGAAATTGAAGGATACATTTTATGATCTTCTCAAAAGGCTCTATAAGCAAACTTTTGGAAGTTTGAGTTTCTTGAAGGAGCTTAATACACTGTTAAATTATTGTTCAGCAAAGCATAACATACTTGACCATTCATCACCTGTTGATTACAATTCTGTTTCAACATCAGAAACTTTGTCAGAGTAAACTTTGTTATTTATAGGCTAAGGCCATAATCAACATTATACTTGTAGAAATATTTGCATTTCTTATAGCATTCTGTATGTATACTTTTATTGCATGCATTATCTGAGTGCATAAAATAACAATTTCTTCAATTTATTTGAATTTTTTAACGAAATTTACTTTCTAATTACAGGTGGCCTGCATGCAATTTATAAATGCCCTTGTGACTTCTCCTTATGAACTTGATTTTCGAATACATTTAAGGAATGAATTCCTACGTTCAGGACTAAAAACAATATTACCAGTAAGTTGAGTTTATACATTTATTATGCTGATGAATTTTAATATTGTTCTGTCTTTGGACAATTTGATGCACAATAAACAAATGTGCTTTGCTATTTTCTTTTGTAAACCATTGCACATTTTTAAGCTTTTAACTTACATTAATATCAGTTTATATATTAGTGATGATTTGGAATTCAGCTAATGATATGCCCTTAAGTGATCTGTTTTGGGTGTTTACTCATTTATTTATTTTGCCTTCTTATGTGAAAATGGAATTCCTTTTCTTTAAAACTGAATTTATATGCACATGATAGAGACTTTTTGCAATTTCAAATTTAATTTAAAAATTTTGGTTTTTACTTTAATAACAAAATGATTTCATTTGTCTTCAGTATATGTATGCATAGGTTTTTTTAAAAGTCTTTATTTATTTGAGAGGTAGAGTTACAGACAGAGAAAGGGAGAGACAGAGAGAAAGGTCTTCCATCTGCTGTTCATTCCCAAAATATCTGCAAAAGCTGGAGCTGAGCTGATCCAAAGCCAGGAGCCAGGAGCTTCTTCTGGGTCTCCCACATGGGTGCAGGGGCCTAAGCATTTGGGGCATCTTCTGCTGCTTTCCCAATTCATAGCAGAGAGCTGGAGCCAGGACTCGAACTAGCACCCCTATGGGATACTGGATACCGGCGCCACATGTGGAAGGAAGCCTACTTTACAGGCAGATTCAGACAGAGAGAGAGACAGAGAGAAAGGTCGTGCTTTCCATTGGTTTACTCCCCAAATGGCTGCTATGGCTGGTATGCTCCGGCTGGCGCGCTACGCCGATCTGAAGCCAGGAGCCAGGTGCTTCTCCTGGTCTCCCATGCGGGTGCAGGGCCCAAGGAGTTGGACCATCCTCCACTGCAGGAATGGAGTTTTAATTAGAATAATCTGAACATATTGCTTAAGAATGATATTCTTTGTACAGTTCTTTGGGAACTTTTCTAAAGAAAATCATTATATTTCTTAAATTGAATGTATTTGCTCTAATTATGATATTGCTGAAAACATTTTTGTAATAATTTTATAGCCTGGATCTGAGATAAATGAGCATATTTACTCTATATATACAAATCTAGCTTTATATTTTAAGTATACTAAACTAAAGAATGGCTTTATTCAAGACCATGTCATTGTTAAAGGAGATAAGAGAATCTCACTTCATTTTACTACTCAAAATACCTGAGAGACAAAAGTAAAGGTACACTGTGGTGTAGCAGGTAAAGTTGCTGCCTTCAGTGCTGGCATCCCATATGGGCACCAGTTTGAGTCCTGATCCAGCTCTCTGCTATGGCCTGGGAAAGCAGTAGAAGATGGCCCAAGTCCTTGAGTACCTCTACCCATGAGGGTTGCCCAGAAGAAGCTCCTGGCTTCGGATCGGGGCAGCTCTAGTCATTGTAGCCAATTGGGGAGTGAACCAGCGGATGGAATACCTCTCTCTCTCTCTCTCTCTCTGCCCCTTGTTCTCTCTCTGTGTAACTCTGACTTTCAAATAAATAAATAAATATTTTTTTTAAAAGAAGTAGAGCAGGAAGAGGGGTGAGAGTGTGGATTGGTACTCTGGGAAGATTCACCATGTTCCTAAAGTTGTAATTATAAAATGTCAGAAGTTTGTATTCCTTAAATAAAAAGCTTCTGGGAAAAAAAAAAAAGAAGTAGAGCAGCTGGGATATGAACCACCACCTATATGTGATGTCAGCATTGCATGTGACAGATTTACCTGCTATGCCACAATCCTGGCCCCAATATATGTATTCTTTTTTTTAAAAAAAAGATTTATTTTATTTATTTGAAAGAGTTACAAAGAGAGCTAGAGACAGAGAGAGCTAGAGACAGAGAGAAAGGTCTTCCATCTGCTGGTTCACTCCCCAAATGGCTGCAACGGCCAGAGCTGAGCTGATCCGAAGCCAGGAGCCAGGAGCTTATTCCTGGTCTCCCACATGGGCGAGGGGTCCAAGGACTTGGGCCATCTTTCACTGCCTTCCCAGGCCATAGCAGAGAGCCAGATCAGTATAATTTGGGACATGCTCAAGCTGACTTGCCCCAAATGGTAGAGTTAAAAACATACCAGGGGATTCCAATTCAATCCCATCAAGGTGGCATGTACCAATGCCATCTCACTAGTACAAGTGATCAATTTCAGTTCACAATTGATCATAATGAAAGGACTAAGAGTCAAAGGGAGCACATAAACAAATCTAGTACCTGCTAACACTAACCGATGGAATAAATAAAGGGGAGAGTGATCCAACATGGGAAGTGAGATACTCAGCAGACTCATAGAATGGCAGATGTCCTAAATAGCACTCTGGCCTCAGAATCAGCCCTAAAGGCATTCGGATCTGGCTGAAAAGCCCATGAGAGTATTTCAGGCTTGGAAAGCCAAGACACTCTGGCAAAAGATCTCTGCGAGTGAGATCCCAGTGGAAAGAACAGGTCTTCAAAGAAGGAGGTACCTTTCTCTGAAGGGAGGAGAGAACCTCCACTTTGACTATGACCTTGTCTAAACAAGATAAGAATCGGAGAACTCAGAGGGCTTCCATAGCCTTGGAAACTCATGACTGGAGCATAGGGAGATTACTGATGCCATAGACAGGAGTGTCAATTGGTAAAGTCAACAACAGGAGTCACTGTGCACTTACTCCTCATGTAGGATCTCTGTCCTTAATGTGCTGTGTATTGAGATTTAATGCTATAACGAGTACCCAAACAATATATTTCACTTTGTGTTTCTATGGGGGTGCAAACTGTTGAATCTTTACTTAATGTATACTAAACTGATCCCTCTGTAAAACAACACATACAACGAAATTATCAACTCCAACTTGACTCTCACTGGGATTAAACATGACAATAGGTCTGCTCTGATTTCATCATCATTTAAAAAAAATCATCTATTATTTTTCACTTAATGTTTCTGTGTGGGAGCAAACTGTTGAAATCCTTACTTAATGTATACTAAGCTGATCTTCTGTATATTAAGATAATCGAAAATGAATCTTGATGTGAATGGAAGGGGAGAGGGAGTGGGAAAGGGGAGGGTAGTGGGTGGGAGGGACGGTATGTGGGGGAAGACATTGTAATCCATAAGCTGTACTTTGGAAATTTATATTCATTAAATAAAAGTTAAAAAAAAAAAAAAAGAAGTGGAGCAGCCGGGACTCAAACTGGCATCCATATGGGATACCAACGCAGCAGGCCAGGGCTGTAACCAACTATGCTGCAGTGCCGGCCCCAATATATATATTCTTGATAGTCTCACCTAGACGTCTCTTTAACTGTCACATGTCTTTAATGTGCGCTGCTTCTCAGATGATAGTTACTTCCCCAAAAAAAGTGGAAAGGATCATATTTCCTCTCTTAAATTTTGATAATAGAGCCTACAGCTATTCTCAGAATCTTTTTCTCTAAGACAATGGAGCCGAAAATAACTAAATATAGCTCTGATTCTCAACCAAGGATTTGGACATGTTCCCCTAAAGAGAGATCACCTCTCACTGGAGATGGGCAGAGGTTTGGTTTGGAAAAAAAAAATCCTCCTCAAGTATTTCTGATATGCAGGATGAGAATCAGAATCTAGGCAGATAGATCTTGAGAAGATTAGAGATAATTTTTTTAGTATTAGAGATTTTGCTTTGTTTGTTGTAGTTTCATTACCACAATTTGGAAAAGGACAGAGTGGCCATACTTTTTTATATACTTCCCACGTCAACTTCTGTCTATTTAACTCAACATTTACCTTTAAACCGCCTTTACACATGCACTGAAGCTTTATAATCAGATGAGCTTTGAAATCCTTACTGTTTCCTAATTTTATGCAAAATTCTAACAAGAGGAGTACCTTACTTTTCCAGAATACAGATATTCTAAGCAGCAAATTAGACATGGCTGGGGGTAATATTCATTTAGTTTCATATATCAAATGTTATACCTATTTAGAAGCAGTAAATAGTAGGGAAAAATAGTACCTACTGTGTCAGTAAACCTTGAGAGTGCCATAACATTATAGTTGAGTGGAACTCTTTCCTAATAATTATAAGTATCCTCAATACAAGACAGTTTTTTCGTTATATCCTGTAGAAGTTTATTTCCAAAATGTCCCCCATCCCTATGATTAGATGTTGGTGTTTAAAAGGATTTGATATTTCATTTCCATGGAAAGTTCACTTTTGATGAATTTGCTTTAGCAATTTGAAATAAATGAGTTGTTATATACTTTACAGTGATATTTTAAAATAATCTTTGCTGGGTACTTAATTGACACTGATTTCTGTGAAATTTTCTCCGTCTTCCTCTTATTGTATCAAATAAAATAAATAGGACATATAAAGGAGCAATGTAGGAAGAATTTATATTTATAGACAGTGAACATACCTTCTTTCTTTTAAGAGACAAACCATTTCTTATTCTTTTGAAGATTCAATTTTGATGGCTTGACTGGTAATCCATAGTGTACTGTTAATAGACTTTGATTTAGATTGAAGTATAGTATATTATACTTAATTATATGTTTTAGAAATTCTGTAAAATAATTGCATATCTATACAGCAGATATATTTAAAAATTGGCTGAAACACATTTACAATATATCACAAAATAGGATAATTCTATAATTTTGTGATATTCTACATTTTAAAATATAAAAGTTTGGTGATACCTCTTCATTTTCTATCATATTATTTGTTGTATGTAAAAAGGTTTATTCACTAAAGATTTCAAAAATTTATAAATGTGTTGTTCTTTTAAAAAAAAGATTATTTGAGAGTCATTGTTACAGAGAGAGAGGAGAGGGTAAGACAGAGAAAGAGAGATATCCACCTGTTTGTTCCTTCCCCAAAGGCCACATTGGCCAGGGCTTGGTCAGGCCAAAGCCTGGAGCCAGGAGCATCATCTGGGTCTCCCATGTGTGTGGCAGGGGCCCAAGCACTTGGGCCATCGTCTGCTGCTTTCCCAGGCCATAGCAGGAAGCTGGATAGGATGTGTAGTGACTGGGACTTGGCACACATATCAGATGCAGGAGTTGCAGGCGGCGGCTCTTCCTGTTACTACAACGCCAGCCTCAATTTTATTTTTCAAGGTTGACTAAAACAAACTTTTAAATGTACAAATATGTATGTGTATATATGTGTTTGTATATAAGCATACATATTTATTTTAATAGGCAGAAACTATTAATACAGAATATAATATACTACATTTAAAATGCCTATATTTTTATTCTATGTTCACATGATTTGTACAGTGTAAAAAATAGCTGGACCAAAGGCCTTAATTATACATTTCACCAGTTAGATTCACTAAAAATATTTTATTATTTTTATTTTTTAAAGATTTATTTTATTTGTTTGAAAAGGAGAGGGGTAGAGAAGGAGAGACAAAGAGTTATTCCATCTACCAGTTGAATTTCCCAAATGGCTACAAAGGCTAGGACTCTGCTAGGCTGAAGGCAGGAGCCTGGAACTCTACCCAGGTCTCCCTTGTGGGTGGAAGGGGCCCAAGCACTCGGGCCATTTTCCACTGCTTTTCCAGGCACATTCGCTGGGAGCTGGATTAGTAGACGAGCAGCTGGGACTTGAACCATTGCTTTGATATGAGACGTTGGCATCATAGGTGGCGGCAGCTTAACCCACTGTGCCATAAAGCTGCCTCTCACTGAAAATATTTTTATCATTCAAAGTGTTACCCATGTTTTGTAAAGTTCTAGTGCTAATTAAAGACATTGTTTACCTTATGATTTTCTAATTTTAAGCATATTTGAATGTATTCAGGTTTTATGAAAATGTTTAAGACAGAAAAATAAAAAATACATAAGTAAGTAAAAAGCTGTTTTTATAATGACCAGAATATCAGTTGTGTTTGGGTTCTTTGATTTTCTGAATGAAGTTCAGAAATCATCCAATAATATGATCCTCCAGTGTTAAATAATTTTACCTTTCAATAAGTTTCTTCATTTCTCTTCAAAGTGGAAAACTAAATATAAAGTATGTTAATTCTAAATAGGAAACTTAGTGTAAATACATTTGTTCATTATGCTTTATATGAAATTATATAGAAACGTATAATAACTATTTTATATGCTCTATATACTGTCAAAATTATTATGTATGTGAATGCTAGAAAGATAACAGCTAGAAATTGTTTAAATGTGTTTTTGGCTTTAGTAGTAACTTTTTCATGTCCCTTTATAATTGCTCTATTACATAAATATAGAAATAAGAAATGCATCCCCTTTGGTTTGGTTTACTTAATTTGAAGTGCACCGTGCTTGCATTCCCTTTTAGAGTTCAAGCTCAGCTCTCAACATCCTAGTCTCACTTTTGATATCGCCTTTGAGCATCCACAGTTGTGATTATCGATTTGGGTTTTGAAAGCTGCAACTTAATGGACACATATTAAAAGATATTCCAGGTGATATATATTAAGCCCAACAATCTCTAGTGTGGCATGCTTCCAAATTTTTTTTTCTTTTAAACTATTATTTTGAAAATTATGAGAAGTTTGTAATGCATGTGCTTATAATGTATTACAAAAACAAATCTTTGATGCCCAAGTTGGTATTTTGTGATTAGGCTAAGCAAAAATGAAAGGTGGGCGAGGCGGTTACAAGTACAGCTTGACAAAGAGTCCTAACACCTTTTTGCTTTAAAATCACAAAATATCAGGTAAAATAAATTTATTTATTCAACTTTTCACGCCATACTTGGGACTGTTGTGCTTGAATATATCCTTGCATTTATTCTTCATTAATATAATTGATCTATATTTGCATATTTTGCCAGAGGCATATGTGAATGTTCTAACTGCATGAGTTCTTTTGCAATCTTTGATTAGTATGTTTAGTCAAAATGAGAGCACTTAATTTGGGTTGTTAGCAATTAGCTTTTTTTTTTTTTGTTCTTTTAGAAGTCATCATTAGTTTTTTTTATGTGAATAATCAAAATCTGGGACAAGGATAGAAAATGCAATGAGGTTCTTTTAGTTTGGGATAGAGAAACTTAGCTACATTTAGTTTCTTTCGGGAAACTAAGTGCCTGGGTCAATATTTGAAATTGCTTCTCTTTGTATAAATGAGTAATTGTGTTTTGTCCTTCATTTTCAAAGTATGCTGTTGCTAGACTGTTATTTGTCTGCTAAGTTTTATGTTTCTGTATTAGGATTTAAAAGAAAAAGAGAATGAAGAACTCGACATTCAGTTGAAAGTATTTGACGAGAACAAAGAGGATGACTTAACTGAATTATCACACCGTCTCAATGACATTCGAGCTGAAATGGAATATCCTTTGACAAACCACAAAAATAATTTTTCATGTGTTGTGAAAAAAGGGGTTTGTGGCTGATTATTAGAGTTCTCATCTGCTAGTCCAATTTATATACATGTATTTGCATTAGAATTTCACTGTGATAGTGTCCTTGAAAATTCATGCTGAGGAAATGTCAGTCTGTTGTGATGATTCACACAGACCATTTGGAAATCTGCGCAATAGCTCACGTTATTATAGGTTTACTCTACTCAGTGCTTCTGTGTACACAAGAACCTAAGGCAGTGTGTCTTACATGCAAGGATGGGGAAACTTCATTGAGTCCATATGTGACTTTAGATAACATACATTTTCAGTACATTAAATGGTACTCTACTTAGAGATATAATTCAACTTAAATAAGCATCTCATTCTCTATTGAAATATTTGTGTGTCTTAACAATCACAAAAATGTTTGGATTCAATAGTATCTGACTACAATAAGGCTGTGTTGTAGAAGCATTTGAGTCAAAACAGCATATAATCTTCCTATGGCAGTGTTATTATATGAAATGATTTCAGATCTAAGAGATGGTTGCCATAGCACTGCCGGCCATTTGTTTCATGCCCATTAACTTTCTTATGGATTCTGGGGAAGTTGGGAAACATTTCAGAACCAAGGTGACCTTTGAGTGGATTCTTTTCTTTCTGATGTGTTCATCCCATGCCCCTCTAACCCCCCAAAAGCTGGAAGTGGTATTCCTTTCCTTGAAACTTCCAAGGTACTTTGTTTGTTCTATCTTATTTATGTACACTTCTCTGCCCCTGTGAGATTGAGGGCAGAAATGTTACATTTCATGTTTTCCTTTTAATGCCCCTATCGAAGTCTTACATGTAGGTATTGGTAAATGTGTGTGCAATGAATAACAGTGTTATTGTTATAAGGAATAATTTCAAGTAATTTCTTCTCAGTCATTAGCCACACAAGTCTGAAATAGCTACTCTAATTGTAAATGATTTTGATATGAATCAATAAGTATATTGACTTATATAATCCATAAAGCTTATTTTCAATCTATTCTTACCCATTTAAGGGACCTTATGAGACTTTAAAGCCACATTCTTAAGAGGGGGTCTAAGAAGTAGGCCATCATATACTTAATTCTACTTCAGAGAAATTGTTGACATTTCAGGTTATTTTTAGGATGTTTTATTTCATCTTGTCTCTTACCTTTATTTTACATCGATTTTCTAGGTCCTCACTTTTATTATAAAAGCAAATCCATTTTTGAAATATGTTCTCTACTTTAGTAAAAGCGTCTACACTTCTATAACTCTCTTTTTATATCCTAAGAAATATGTTTCAACTCCATTGTCTTTACTCTTCCATCTCTTATCAAATAATGAGAGAAAATAAGCAACAATAATTTGAGGCTTAGTAAGTATTTCATTTGTGTAAAATAAAACCGATTGTGTGGGGGGGTTGTGTTTTACCAGTTCATAGCATGTGTGTTGGCTTTCTATATTATGTGGTGGTGAAAGTATAGAAGTGGTCGCTTTCGTGAATAATGTGAGAGTACTTCATGGACAATGAAATTAAGGGGAAGGGTGTTTTAGCTAGCAGGTTAAGCTGCAGCTTACAATGCAGGCATCACACATTGGAGTATGGTTAAAGTCCTGGCTGCTCCATTTCTCATCCCCTTCCCTGGTAATGTGCCTGAGGAGGCAGTAGAAGATAGTTTAGGTATTTGGGTCTCTGCCAGCCATGTGGGAAACCCAGATGGAGTTTGTCTTCCTAGTTTTGACCTGACCTAGCTCTAGCTGTTGAGCCATTTGAAGAGTGAGGAGCAGATTGGATATCTTTCTCTCTGTTTCTCCCCTTCTCTGTGTCACTCTGCATTTCAAATAAATAAATAAAATCTTTTGTAAAACATGACAAAATCCTAATTGAGGCCAGGGATGACACTGCCCTTTACTAGGGCCATGGGTACTAGAATGGTAGTTAGAATCCTGGGAAGACGGAAAGATTTTAACAAAGAGAAAAATTATGTTTGTTTTGGTGCAAAAAAAAATTGAAACTCATGCATATTTTTTCAGAGCATTCATTTTTCCTATAAACTTACTGAATATACTTTGTGTAGTTCCTCTGTTATAACCACACCGTTTTCATGGATGGCATCACTGTTTCAATGGTATTAGCTATGATTTGGACTTTGAGATATAATGAATAGCTCATCATTAAAAGACTTGGCAGTCCAATGGACTTGCAAATGCTCTTTCAATATGTTTCTCTAGTGAAAAGATTGAAATGATTCCATAGAGTCATTTTCTAAATGTAAATGTTTAAATTTTGGATCATGGATTTGAAGGCTTAGAAATAGTAAGTGAAACAAAATAATAAGTCTGTGTTTGAAAAACAAATTATGAATGATTGAATGAATCTTTATGAATGAATCATCAGAAATTTTCAATATTTTTCCTTTACTTACTTTCTACTGATATGAATGAAGTATACCATCTTCTTTATAACATGTTGAAGGACACTGCTGCTGAAAATTATTTATTATCCATTCTACAACATTTTTTGCTCATCAGAAATGATTATTATATAAGGTGAGAGACAATTTTGAGAGTACATTATCTATGATTTGAATTGGATATTAAAGGAAATTTCACAATGTAGAGAGATCTAGGTACATATACATACATAAAGTATGAGAATGTGACTACTCTTTGTAATATTTTTAAGAAAATGTTAATCTATTTTTAAATGTGTCAGAACAGAGATCTACTCAAAAATGTGATACCCCAGTGACAGCACTTTTTGTATCGATGAGCCTGATAGATATTACTGACCCTGGGATAAATTTTCTATGCTACATACTGGGAGAACAAAGAGAGCACTGAAAATTTTATGATAGAACTTTTAAGTTCTTATGCATTTTAATAAGTAAAATTTTACTGTTATTTTGTTTTTACAATATTTAGTAATAATTGTGATTTTAACATCTAAGAAAATAATGCTAATATTTCACTTTTATAATCAGTAATGTAATTCTTCAAAATAAATAAGTTTGATAATAACACATATAGGTAAAGTTTTAGAATCTAGAAACTAGGAATATATTTGAAAGCCAAAATTTTATAAAAATGTTTCTGAGTTACTGAAATTATCTTTAGGCTGTTGACTGTGATATTATATTTAACTGTTCAAAAACTCTCAGTTGTTTTTCGTATTTCAGTTTGCATGAAATTCTGACAACCTAGGTTCTCTACTTTCTAAGAACCTGCTTGATAAAAGGGAAAAGTCAGGTATAGTCACAACAAAATTGAGAATTCTGTATCAACACACAAGTGGAGAACTGTTATAGGTTAGACTGGTACAATAATTTCGTGGGCATCATGATGTTATAGACACATAGGAATGTTAAAATATTAAATTATAGGATTTTTAAAACAGGAAAGATGTTTTATAAATGCATTTAAAGATATATAAAAATAATTAATGTTTCCTAAATTTAGCTCTGATAATTAAAAGGTACTGTACCTACTAGGAATTACTACCTAATAGGGACATCATTTGTGTGAAACTCAGGGTGAGTGAATGAGAAGTGACTCTCATTTTGTATCTTTTTTCATCCTGAGAACATCCATGTGAGGTACAAGTGCAACATGCACTTTTATTCCATTTGGGGATGATTGCCTTGTCCATTTGAGAAGCAGTTGTTTCTCTCCTTATTTACCCAAACTGGCAATGACTAGGCTAGGATTAAATTCAACATTATTTACCATAGACCCATTGATGACTTGAAGAAATCCCAGATATGTAATATATATTAATATTCTTGTTTTGGGGAGCAGTTCTATGACTAAAGACATGGGAAAGCTATTAGAATTCATGTGGCTTTGTTTTCAAATATTTAGTAGGCTGGCTAGTTACCAGCACACTAAATTGAGGAATATTTATGTCCTAATTTGTCTACAGTAGTATTTCTTACTGATTTTTCTATATTAATTTGTTGACCCCTGACAAATAATATTCTTCAAATTTTAATTGAAAGAGTGCCTTTTTTAAAAAAAATTGCAATATGTGAATGATCATTCTTAAGCCCAAAATTACCTTTTTATATCCTAAGAAATCTATCTTTCAACTGCATTGTCTTTACTCTCCAACTTTTATCAAATAATGAGATAGAAAGTAAACAACACTAATTTTAGGCTTAGTAAGCATTTATATTTTACTAATTATATTACTAAGTATGTAAGTATAAATTAGTAAGTATATTTATATAAGAATTGATATTTATATAAATATTTGTAAGAATTAGTAGGCAGAATTAGAATATGTTTTAAAATATTTTTTACTGTAAATAACTGAGGTCATGGCCATACACATTAAGTGTGTATGTATATTTATATTTATGTAAAGGATATTTTAAATTATGTTTCATAAAATAATATTTTGAATAGTCTATAACATAAAGGTTCAGTCCAATTTTGTAAGCTATTGTAACTATTTTCCATAAAAGTTCTGTAGTAAATTTTTTTTTTGACAGCAGAATTAGAGAGTGAGAGACAGAGGGAAAAGTCTTCCTTTTCAGTTGGTTCACCCCCCAAATGGCCGTTATGGCCGGCGTGCTGCGGCGATCCGAAGCCAGGAGCCAGGTGCTTCTCCTGGTCTCCCATGCGGGTGCAGGACCCAAACACTTGGGCCATCCTCCACTGCCTTCCTGGGCCACAGCAGAGAGCTGGACTGGAAGAGGAGCAACCGGGATAGAATATGGTGCCCCAACCGGGACTAGAACCCGGAGTGCTGGCACCGCAGGAGTAGGATTAGCCAAGTGAGCCACGGCGCCGGCCAGTTCTGTAGTAAATTTAAGATATTTCTTGCCACCTTGTGTAAAAAAACTCATCCCTTATAGAAATTGAAAACATGTAGATGTTTAGAACCATTTTTATATCCATGAATTTAGGACTAAGGGATCACTTGTTTTCATTAACTGTAGAAAAAAAAAAAAAGAAACAATAGCTTAAGTAAATAGATGATGTTGATAAGTTTCTTTGAATACAAACATGAATCCTTGTAAAGTCACTGAACATTGGGCATTCTTTACGTCATAAGGGATTTGGCACTATAAATGCTAGTATTTTTTAACAGCTCTAGAAAAATATTCAGTTCTTTTAAAATATGTTGAATCCCTTCTTAAGGAAACTGATGTGTGTAGGTAGAAAAGATATTCACAAATGTTTCTCTCTCTTTCAGGCCACAATATTATAAAATAATTGAGGAATGTGTTTCACAGATAGTGCTGCATTGCAGTGGTATGGACCCAGACTTCAAATATAGGCAAAGATTAGACATTGATTTCACTCATCTCATAGGTATGTAATATAATTCTCACTGTGCTTTGGTTGTGTGTCTTACACCTTCTATATAAAACTCACTCTTTAAAGGTTGGTCTCTCATTGAACTGGTATTAATATCTGATAATACACTATGTCATGGCTACTCAATTGCTATTAGTGTTAATTACTATTTTTTTTATTTTATTTAAAAAAAATTTTTTTTTGACAGGCAGAGTTAGACAGTGAGAGAGAGACAGAGAAAGGTCTTCCTTCCGTTGGTTCACCCACAAAATGGCTGCTACGGCCGGTGCGCTGCACCAATCCGAAGATAAGAGCCGGGTACTTCCTCCTGGTCTCACATGAGGGTGCAGGGCCCAAGCACTTGGGCCATTCTCCGCTGCCTTCCTGGGCCACAGCAGAGAGCTGGACTGGAAGAGGAACACTGGGACAGAACTGGCGCCCCAACCGGGACTAGAACCTGGGGTGTCGGCGCTGCAGGTGGAGGATAAGCCTAATGAGCCATGGCGCCAACCGTTAATTACTATGATCATGAAAGTTCTGCCTGTATGATTAGAAATATTGATCTATTTGATAAATTTGAACCCTCCTGGATTCAGTTTAAACTCAGTGCCCCTATGCAATGCCATTGTATTATTTTAGACACATGCCATGCTTTTTAGAAGCATGACTTTGAAGTCCCTTAGTTCAATTTCTACTGGTACCTTAGGAGTTTTGTAGAAATCACATATACAATAGGGCCTCATCAATATAACAACTACATTATTTACGCTCAATTTAAGGAAAAGAAATGCAGAGAGTTCTTCCCAGAACAATCTCTGAAGGAGAATGTGAAAGCTCTCTTGTAAAATACATTATGGTATATGTCCTTATATAGCAAAGCAATTTTATTTTTACTAATTGCAGTCATTATTGCTAAGCTTCAAACATGAACTCACTTGTTTTTAAAGAAAGAAAACAACTGTTGAATGCCAATTATGCATTATTTTTCACCCTGTATCACAGGACAGACTTATAGAAATATTCAAAAATGCATTCCTTATTGTTATTTATCATCTATTTTTTCTGGTTTTAAAGTAATATGCTCCTTATGTAGGTAATCTACTTGCTTATATAAGTGATAAACCAACAATCACATCACCATTACTCCTGTCTAGCTCAGTGTATTTCCTTCTATCTCTTGCTTTGTGTATATCTATTTATATGCTGATTTTTCGTGGTATATTATGATAATTTTTCCAAATTAACCTTCAAAATGTGACTTTTTAATGTCTGTATAATCCATCTTTTTTAAAATTTTAAATTTTTATTCATATAAGGTGAACAGATTTCATGCATTTCATTTACACAATTTTAAGCCCATAATGATAATTTCCACCCCCCCACTCCCAACCTCAATCCTCTTTCCTTCCTTTATTTTTTCTTTTTAATTTTAATAATAATATACTTTTATTTTATTATGTTTCATCCATGGGGTACCACATAAATTTTTTTTTTATTTTTTTACCTAGAAAACTTTTATTTAAGGTATACAAACTTCATGAAATTCATATATACAAATTTAGGAACACAGTGATTCTCCCAACCCTACTCTCCCTCCTGCCCACACTCCCACATTTCTTCCTCCTCCTTTTTCTATTCCCTTTCTTATTTTTTTAAGATTTATTTATTTATTTGAAAGAGTTACACAGAGAGAGGAGAGGAAGAGAGAGAGCGAGCAAGAAAGAGGTCTTCCATCTGATAGTTCACTCCCCAATTGGCTGCAGCAGCCGGAGCTGTGCCAATCCAAAGCCAGGAGCCAGGAGCTTCTTCTGGATCTCCCTCACAGGTGCAGGAGCTGAAGGACTTGGGCCATCTTGTATTGCTTTCCCAGTCTATAGCAGAGAGCTGGATTGGAAGTGGAGCAGCCGGAACTCAAACTGGCACTCATATGGGATTCCAGAGCTTCAGGCCAGGGCGTTAACCCGCTGTGCCACAGCACTGGCCCCTCCCATTCTTATTTTTTACAAAGATCTATTTTCAGTTTACTTTTATACTCATAAGATTAGCCCTTCACTAAAGAAAGAGTTCAACAAATGGTATGAAGAAGAAAAAAAAAAGCAGTGTTCCTCAATAGTTGAGATAAGGGCTAATCAAAATCATAACATCTTAAAGTGTCGATTTAACTTCTATAGATTATATTTTAGGTACTCTATTAGTTATCACCGATCAAGAACATATGATTCAATTTACTTTACAATCACAGGCTTAATCCTCTATCTAATAAAGAATTCAACTTATATCTATAACCTACCACATGACTCATCCATCCCACTCCTGGAATTTACCCAAGCAGAAAGAAATCACATGAAAGAATGATCTGTACCCCCATGCTTATTGAAACTTAATTCACAATATCTAAGATATAGGATCAACCCAAATGTCTGCCAACTGAAGACTGGATAAAGAAGTTATTGTATATATACACTATTGAATATTGCACAGTGGTAACAAAGAAAATGAAATCCTGTCATTTGCAACAAAATAGATGCAATTGGAAACCATTATAGTTATTTGAAATATGCCAGTCCCAAAATGACAAATACCATATGTTCTCCCTAATCTGTGGTACCTAAAAGATAATCCATAGAAGTGACATTGACACTTTCACACATGATGACTTTGAATAGCCCTTGTGTTGACTGTTGAGGAAAAGTGTTTTTTCTTTTCTTCATATTGTTTGTTGAACTCTTTACTTAGTGTAGGGTTAATCTTATGAGTATAAAGTTAACTGAAAATAGGTCTTTGTAAAATATAAGAATGGAAACAGGAGAGGAAGGAATAACAAAAGTGGGAGTGCAGGCAGGAGGAAGGGTAGTGCCGGAAGCACCACTTTATTCTTCAATTTGTATGTATAAAATGCATGAGGTTTGTATACTTTAATAAATTTTTTAAAAAAGAAATAAAGTAGGACTATAGACAAGGGTTATAAACAATAGTCAAATATCAAGATGACAATTTCACTCATATACATTACATTTTTGTACTCTGTATATTACCTTCAAATCAAAACATGTTTGTCTTTTGAGGGATGGCTAATTTCACTAAGCATCATGATCTCCAATTGCATCCTTTTTTTGAAAAGATAGGATTCCATTCTTTTTCTTGGCTAAGTGGTATTCCATTGTATATATGTGCCACTTGTATATGTATCACATTTTCTTTATCCAGTCATCAGTTGATGGACATCTGGGTTGATTCCATATATTAACTATTGTGAATTGAGTTGCTATAAACTTGGAGATATAGGTAAATCTTTCATATACTGATTTCATGTACTTTGGGTAAATTTCCAGGTGTAGGATGGCTTGGTCCTATGGTAGATCTATTTTCAGAAATCTGATGAATCAGCATGCTGTCTTACATAACAGTTGTACTACTTTACATTACCACCAACAGTGTATTAGAGTACCTGTTTCTCCACGTCCTTGCCAGCATTTATTAACTCTTAATTTTTGGATGATAGCCATTCTAATGTGGTGAGGTGAAACACAGTTCTGGTTTTTATTTGCATTTCCCTGATGGCTAGGGATCTTAAACATCTTTTCATGTGTCTATTGGCCATTTGTATTTTATCTTTTGAAAAATGCCTGTTCATGTCCTTTGCCCATTTCTTAACTAGATTGTTAGTTTTGTTGTACTGAATTTCTTGAGCACCTTATATATTCTACATATTAATCTTTTATAGAAGGTATACTTTGAAAATATTTTCTCCCATTCTCTCAGTTGTGACTTCCCTTTGTTGAGTATTTCTTTTGCTGTACAGAATCTTCTTACCTTGATATAGTGCCATTTGTCTATTTTTGCTTTGTTGTCTGTGCTTCTGGGGCCTTATCCAAGAAGTCTTTGCATATGCCAGTGTCTTACAGTGTTTCTAGTATGTTTTTCTCAAGGCACTTTGATGGTTTCAGGTCTTAGGTTTAGACCCTTGTGCATTGTGAGTTGATTTTTGTAAAGGGTATAAGGTAGGGGTCTTGTTTCATGCTTCTGTATATGGAGCTCCAGTTTTCTCAGCACCATTTGTTGAAGAGACTGCCTTTCTCCAGGGATTGATTTTAGCTCATTGTCAAAGATTAATTGGTTGTAGCTGTGTGGTTTCATTTCTGGGGTTTCTATTCTGGTTGATTGGAATCATATTAGATCTGTAAATTGCTTGGAGTAGTATGGATATTTTGATGATATTAATTCTTCCATTCCTGAACATTGAAGGTTTGTCCATTTTAGGGGGTCTTCTATTTTTTTCCTTAATGTTTTATAATTTTCATCGTAGGGATCTTTTACTTCCTTGTTTAAATTTATCCCAAGGTGTTTTTTTTTTTTTTTTTTGACAGGCAGAGTGGACAGTGAGAGAGAGAGACAGAGAGAAAGGTCTTCCTTTGCCATTGGTTCACCCTCCAATGGCCGCCGCGGCCGGCGCGCTGCGGCCGGCGCACCACGCTGATCTGGTGGCAGGAGCCAGGAGCCAGGTGCTTTTCCTGGTCTCCCATGGGGTGCAGGGCCCAAGCACCTGGGCCATCCTCCACTGCACTCCCTGGCCACAGCAGAGGGCTGGCCTGGAAGAGGGGCAACCGGGACAGAATCTGGCGCCCCGACCAGGACTAGAACCTGGTGTGCCGGTGCTGCTAGGCGGAGGATTAGCCTAGTGAGCCGCGGCGCCAGCCTATCCCAAGGTTTTTACATATTTTTGTAGCTACTGTGAATTGGACTAATCTTATAAGTTCTTTCTCAGACATTGCATTATTTGTGTATACAAATGCTATTGATTTTAGTGTGTAAATTTTATATTCAGTCACTTCTCCAAATTCTCTTATGAGTTCCAGTAGTCAGTGGAGATTTTTGGTCCTCCTATATATAAAATCATATCACCTGCAAACAGGGATAATTTGACTTCTTTCTTTCCAGTTTGTTTCTTTGATTTCCTTTTCTTGCCTAATGGCTCTGGCTAAAACTTCCAGAACTAGATTGAATAGCAATGGTGAAAGTGGGCATCTTTGTCTGGTTCTAGATCGTAGTGGATATGCTTCCATCTATTCCCCATTCAATATGGTGCTAGCTGTGGATTTGTGATACACTGCCTTGATTGTGTTAAGGAATGTTCCTTCTATACCTGATTTGCTTAAGGTATTAAGGATGTTATGTTTTATGAAATGCTTTATCTGCATCTATTGAGATAATCATATCATTTTTGTCCTTCAGTTTGTTAATGTGATATGCCACATTTATTGATTGTGAATGTTGAACTATTCCTGCATACCAGGGGTAAATCCTACTGTGTCTGGTTGAATGATCTTTCTGATTTGTTGTTGGATTATATTAGCTAGTATTTTGTAGAGGAGTTTTGTACTAATGTTCCTCAAGGACATTGGTCTGTAGTTCTCTTTGTTTGTTGTGGCTTTCTAATTTTGGAATCAAGGTGATGCTGGCCTCATAGAAAGGGTTTGTAAGAATTCCATCCATGTCCACTGTTTTGAGTAGTTTGAGAAGAATTTGAATTAGTTGTTCTTTAAAAATTTGGTAGAATTTAGCAGTGAAGCCATCCCATCTTGGACTTTTCTTTGTTGGAATAGTCTTTCTTACTGATTCAATCTGCATCTTGGTTTTTAGTCTATTTAGGTTTTCTATGTATTCATGCCTCAATTTTGGTAAATTGTGTATATCTAGAAATATATTTATTTCTTCTGGATATTCCATTTGTTGATGTATAGCTATTTGCAGTGATGCCTGATAATTCATTTTATTTCTGTGGTATCTGTTTTAACAAACCCTTCTCATCTCTGATTTGAGTCTTCTTCCCCACCCCTTTTTTTTGGTTAGTTAGGACAATGGTATCAATTTTTTTTAATTTTTTTCAGAAGACCAGCTCTTTATTTCACTGATCTTTTGTATTTTTTTTCAATTTTGTTTTATTTGTTCTTTAATTTTTATTATTTGTTTCCTCCTACTAATTTTGGGTTTGGATTGTTCTTATTTTTCTAGACTCTTAAGATGCATTGTGAGGTTATTTGATGCCTTTCAAATTTTTTGGTTTAGGCACTAATTGCTGTAAACCTTCCTCTTAACACTGTTTTTGCTGTTTTCTACAAGTTGTGATATGTTGTGTTGTCATCTTCATTCATTTTTAGGAATTTTTTATTTCCCTTTTGATTTCTTCTATGACCCACTATTTATTCTGGAACATGTTGGTCATTCTCCATGTGTTTTCATATTTTCTCGAGTTTCTTATGTTGTTAATCTCCAGGTTAATTCCACTGTGCTTAGCAAAGATACAGGGTACATTTTCTTTAAATTTGTTATGATTTGTTTTATAGCCTAATATATGATCTCTCCTAGAGAATTTCCATACACTGTTCATCTTTTTAAAAATTCTTGAGAGGTAGAAAGACAAAGGCAGAGACAAAGAGAATTTTCCCATGCACTGGCCCTCTCCTCAAATAATAGCAATAGCCAGGGATGGGCCAAATTGAAGCAAGTAAGTTGGGTATTCAATACAGTTCTCCCCTGTGGGTTGCAATAAACTGACTACTTGAGCCTGAGCCATTACTGCTCGATCCTAAGTTCTGTATTAGCAGAGAGCTGGACTCAGAAGCTGGGGCCAGGTATCAAACCCAGATACTCCATTGTGAGATGCCATCATACTAACTGACATTTTAACTACTAGGCCAAACTCCTGTCTCTAATGTCCTATCATATGAATATCATTGTCATCTTAACCAGTTCTTTCTATTGTACATCTCAGTTGTTTTCAGGTTTCCACAATTATAAGTGAATCTTCTGTGAATAGTCTTAGGCATAAATGTTTGGATTTTTCTCATAATTTCCTTAGGATTGATTCCTGTAAACGAGAGTATGAACTTTCAAGGTGTAAATGCTTTTCATAATGCTTCTTCCAGTTTACCTTGTACCTGCAATGAATGAGAATGCCAACCTCTCTGCATCTTTTTTACTGAGCTTGATAAACTTCACAGTTTATTTCATAGTTTTTTTTAGGGAACCATAAGGGACTGTCTCCAAATATGTGCATTTGTTTCTAATCCATTTGAGACCCTAGCTAGCACACATACTCTACTGTCGATATTGGCTAACTTGTTCAGTGTTAACACATACTTGTTTTGTGTGTTGTATACCAGGTCCTTATGATTGTATACTGTCAGTCAAAAGCATTGAGGTGAGGATAGATCAGGTGAGAGAGGCTAGTCAGCATCACATAGACTTCATGTACACATTATCTCTGTGATTGTGAATAAATCATTATAACTTCCCTAGATTTCAGTTTCTTCAACTCTAAAAATCAAATAAATCAAATACATGATGAAATTTTTTGAGAAATTAGTGAATGCCTTGAAGCGTTTGTTAGAACGCATGTACATATGTGCACACACACATACATACACCAGAATTATCAAATATTTCAAGAACTTCTAGGTAATCTCTGGATCTCTACTTTGTTTTTACTTGGAACTAAGGATATTAGAGTCTTTACCAATTCCACAGTTCTATAAATCTTGTATCTAATATCAGATCCATGCTTAAACTCTCCAGTACTTTCCTATTGAAGTTGAAATCAAAATGAAAATCTTTACCAGCCATGTCTGACTCAGCACACATGTGGCTCCTTTTTTATCTCAGCCCTAAACACTTTCCTCTTCAGGTGCTATGCTCTAGCTACACATTAAAAATAAAAATTAAAAATAAAAATAAAAAATAAAAAACTTCACTGAGGTAAATAAGCATTTGTTCCTAAAGTTTATACATTCTCTTTAAGTCTCTCTTCCCATATCTCCCATGTCTCCCTACCCTGAGACAGCCACTAAGTTCTCTGTTACTGGTTTCACTTTATTTATAGTTTCTCTTATTAGTTTCACTTCTTAAAATTTTATAAAAGTAGAAATAAAAATCATGTACTCTATTTTTGTCTGTCTTCTTTCATTCAGCATAATGATTTTAAGATAATCCATGTTGTTTTGCATGTGTTAATTGTCCATTCCTCTGTATTGTTAACTAGTATTCCATTATATGGCTGGTCTACAATTTAGTCATTTGTTTTTTTTCTAGCTTTTGGCTATTATAAATAAACTTCTTTGAACATTCAGATAGAGTTTTGGTATGAACATATGTTTTCTATTTCTTTGGGTAGATACATAGATGTGGAATGGCCTAGTATAAGATAGACTTTATATATGATGATGGGGGATAAAATATTGCCTGTAAGAAGCTATTAAATTTTTTATATTGGGAAAATGTGATAGAATCTGAGAAGTTTGAAATTTGTTTTCTTATATACATGATACTTATAAGATCAGAAGTGAAATCCTTCATTGGCTGGCCTAAATTAATGAATGTTACTCTGTCTCCCTCTCCAGCTTTTTTAAAGGATTTTTTTTGAGTCTTAATAATCTTAAGTAGGTAGTCTTTGTCACCTTCCTACCCATAATAAGCATCCAGAATTTTTTTGAAGAATTCTATCATTGCAAAAATTGAAAAAGAATCATTTATCCTTAAAACAATGTTGATTTAATCAAATGAATTTGCAAATGTTTGCTTTTGTGCCTCAATACTATTAATGATTTCAGTTTGTATGATAAAGAAATAAAATGTATTTCATGTTTTATGTGTAGTATAGGTCAATTTACGTTTAATAGCAATTGACATAGAAATGGTAATCTACATAGTACTATTGGCTATCAGCCATCTTTTGCCTAGAGAACTCATTCCATAGTTTTTAATCACTTTTGATCAATCTTAACAGATTCTTGTGTGAACAAAGCAAAAGTTGAAGAAAGTGAACAAAAAGCCGTGGAGTTTTCCAAGAAGGTAAAGCCTATAAAATACTGGTTATTATTGTGACATTAATAATTTGATCACAGCCCATATTCTGCCCTGTTTCATTATGGAAAGTTTTATAAATGTTGTTTTAGTTATGTAGTACTTTTTATTTCTGAATTCAAACTTAACAGAACATTATTTATTTCATAATAAGATAAGGCTGCCACTATTTCCTCCTCATCATCTTTAATCCATTATGTAAGACAAATAATAAATGAAATAAAATCAGATTGCCAAAAGGATATATTTACAAGAGGTCAACCAAAGTAAATTTCCCTGTTGCTTTCCTGTAGCTTTAAGTTACTTACACAAAGTAGCTGTTGGGAGATCTGTGAGATTTTTATCTGGTCTTCTTACTAGTTATGGTCCTTCAAGTGATGGAATGTGCCAGGGGCCTCAATCTCTTTCTTTCTCTTTCTCTCTCTCTCTCTCCCTCTCTCCCTCTCTCTCTCTCTCTCTCTTTCCCTCTCTCTCCCCTCCCCCCTCTGCTTACACTTAGCTTTTTTGAATTCTGTGATTACTCTCTTTAAAATATCGTTGTTACATCTTATATGTTTGGTGGAAATTGAGGTTCCTCATTCTTTCTTAATGCCTTAAGTAAATACCTTTGAGTCGATGCCAGCTTTGTGAATATCGTAATTTTATTTAGATAGGATTGTCTGTTCCTTGTTTCATGAACTCATAGCTACCATTTTATTTACTTCTACTAAAAGTTTCTCTTTCTTTCTTGTTCTAGATCCCATTAAATGTTAGTGTAGTATTTCTCCCCTGTTGGGTGCAGGGAGAAGGATTGAAGCACAAGTCTAAAAGCTCTCTGGTTTTCAGTCTTCTGACAGCAAGATAAAGTGCTTACATATTGCTGTGTCTTCAAAGTTATGACTTACCTTAGAGATTAGATAATCACTTTTGCTATCACTCTAGAAATAATAGAGTTACTTCAGGGCATCTGAAGAAATATCTTTGTTCTTTCAGTTACTAGAATAGATTTTAAGAGCTTGGGCTTGAATGTAAAATGTTTGTGTAGAGCTGTCATTTTTATTGGTAATAGAAAATGCATACTTTTTGATTAATAGACCTTTATAATTTTTAATGTTCTCATTTTAAGTAACAAATTTAGAATTCCCTTTGAAAATCACAGGATCTCTTTAATTTAGGCTACCACTGTGATAGGATACCATAAGACTGGAGCAGATTGTGATTATCTAGTTTTCTGTAAGCATATATTATGGGAACAGGAGTTCTGAAATAACAGAAAAGAAATTTCAGTGTGTGATGATTTCGTGTTATCACCAACATTTAGAATGAATGAGTGAAAACATGTATGGCCTCTTAGTGGTTATCTGCGTGCACTTTAAGAGGCAGTACAAGGGAGTTTTTTTTTTTTTAAGTGGTAAAGTGACAGACAGTAATTATAAGATGTGATCTTAGCTTTTCCACTAATTAGCTGTGGCTTTAAGTGAACCACTTACTCTCCTTGAACCTTGGTTTCAGAGAGGATAAGATTAGTGGGCTTGTAAAAAATCTCTTCCAGTTCACATATTTAGGCTTCTTTGCTACTCTTTGTGTTTATGGACTAATGTAATTTTAAGTTAAAAGCAGAAACATTGTGTTCATTTTCTCAAATGTACCAATAAACTTTTTATACAATGAAAACTGAGTGCAGTATGCTTCTTTTTTAAAAAAAATATTTATTTAATTTAAAAGTCAGACTTGCAGAAAGAGGGAGAGACAGAGAGACAGAGATCTTCCATCTGCTGGCTCACTGGGCCAGGCCAAAGCCAGGAGACAGGAGCTTCTTCCAGGTTTCCTAATGGGTAGCAGGGGCCTGGGCACTTGGGCCATCTTCCACTGATTTCTCAGGCACATTAGCATGGAGCTGGATTGGAAGTGGAGTATCTGTGACATGAACTGGTGCCCATATGAGATGCGACGCCACAGGTGGTGGCTTTACCCACAATTCCACAATGCCAGCCCCTGCAATATGCTTTCCTAGAGACCATATTTAAGAAGCAAACAGGAGACTCTAACTTTGGTAGGAGGGATGGGAATACAGATTCAGATAAAATACTAACACTGATAGTAGTGAAGTCAAACAAACCCAGATTAGAGGACCTCTGTCTTCTTAATGAGGTGGAAAAAAGGCATTATCTGAAGTATCAATGGCTCTTTCAGCCTAAGAATCTAGGATGGGTTTGAAATGTAAGGACATTATAGAAGATTTGGATCAGCCTGTGTGGGACATTTTCCAGGGACTCAAGTGGAGATGAATAAAAGCATTACTAAGTAAAATTTCAGATTTCACCCAAATAATATTATCCAGTTGGCTCACCCATACTTTTGTCAAATTTATCATTCCCAAAGGTCAAATGTACCATGAGGATGAGTAGTTATTAATAGTAAAGATAACTTTTGTATGTTATAAAGACAGCTCTGGACAGTGTTTTTATATACATATATATGTATGTGTGTGTGTGTTTTATACACATACGTATATCTATATGAATTAGAAACAAATAACATTGTTAGAATAATATACATGCTTTTAAAAATGACTTGAAGTGACATTGACAATAAGGGGCAAATAAAATATTTTATAGTTCACTGTAAATATGCAGGCTAATTAGTGACTGCTTCAAGCCCTGACTAATAAAGTAAGGGCTGGGGCAAGAGGCACTAAATGATTATTCACCAAACAATCTCTTTGGCTTAGTGCACCCTATTTTAATCTCCCATTTTCCTTCTCTCAAAACATGTTATGTAAGTGTTTTGGTTAACCATCTGAAGGAGAGTGCTACTATAGCATATGTCATTGTACTGTCATATTTTGTGCAACACCAGTTTTTAGATGCTAGACAACAAAGAGTGTAATAGAAACATTTCATTTGTATTAATGTATATTCATTTGAGCATTCTGAAGGTGCAAATCTCTTTGCAAGATTAACTTAGTTGAGGAGTTGACACTGCTTGACAGCATATTTTTAGATTTCATTTTAAATTCATTTAGCTTGAAAATATGGGATGAAACATTTAAAATATTATTAATTCAAAAATTGAATTTTCAATAAAAAATTAAAATGTCCATTATATATGAAGAAAGACTTCTCTCCACCACTGTTTTTTTTTTTTTAGAAGTCAAATGGGTTTTCTTTCTTTGAGTGGAGGGCATAATTCTTATTTATACCGCTACCACCACAAGCAATACCCACCCCTAGGTGGACACTTAATTGTCATGAAAATAATCAAGAGCTCTGATTTTCTCAGTGACCTGGGAATTCAACTGAACAAAAATCATTCCAGTTATTTACCACATGTTGTTGTTTAAAGTTTTCTCAAAACTATATTACTAATTGTATGTTTATGGTGATGATCATTGCAGTTTGATGAAGAATTCACAGCTCGACAGGAGGCTCAAGCTGAGCTTCAAAAAAGAGAAGAAAAAATCAAAGAACTTGAAACAGAAATCCAGCAACTTCGAAACCAGGTAATGAAACAAGATACAGACTTTGTGTCATGTCACAGTAAGTTCAATGGCAGAAAATTATGTTGTTAACAGAGAACGGAAAATGTGACCGGAAGCAGACTTTTGGGCAGTTTCACATTTTAGTTAAAATAACTACAGATTTGATTTTTGAGGACAATAAATCATTTTAATGTCTGGAAAAAATACAAAACACTAATTGCTGAAACTGCCCTGAATATTTTAAACAGAATGCTACACAAGCAAAACTGGTTTTGAGATGAAATTTTCATGATTTGAAAAACGAAATGCATAGTGTTTTTTTTTTTCAAAAAGAATATGGAACTGCTCATTAATTTTAATTATTCCGAAAGTTTTTTGAAATGTCTTTAAATCTTGACTACTATAATTTCAAAACTTATAAACTTTACATTTCCACCTACATTCCTGTGATGAAAAGATTCCATATATACTTTAAATCTTAATTATGATGTCTAAACTTTAGAACCGATTGAGTACTCTCGTCAACACTCTTTATATCTTAAATGAATCTTCAGAAATTTAAAATGATGCTTTAACGTATTGAGTGCTCAGGTGGTGGTTATTGATTGACTAGATCTATTCCATCAATCCACTGAAAAAATTACCTCAAAAGTCATCAGTAAACTCTAGTCAATGGGGTGGCCTTTTCCTTCCCTCAGCTTGCATCACTTAAGTCTAGTAATTGATTTGTTTTCATCAGGTATTTCTGTGTTCTCTGCCGTCCCCTTCTAAATGTATGAGAACTCAGTTTCACTTTTTGAGAAATGGTGACATTCCTCAATGTTCTCTCCTCTGCCTTCTTCTCTGTATATCTTTGTTCTAATAATCCATCAATATACTTTCAAATACCACTTCTTAGATGACATCATGTCTTTTGAGTTTTATATTTCCAGTTGTTCTTTTGCTATCCTGGTGGGAAAGGTCTTATGCCATGTTGAGGTCAAAAGTAATATTTGTGGTCTCCTATCTTTTCTCAAACCAGCTTGGCCTCCATTCTTATTTAAATTTTACTGAGGCCCAGCCCAGTGGTGTAGCAGCTAAAGCCGCTGCCTGCAGTGCCAGCATCCCATATGGTCACTGGTTCAAGCCCCGGCTGCTCCACTTCCGATCCAGCTCTCTGCTATGGCCTGGGAAAGCAGTAAAAGATGGCTAAGTCCTTGGGCCCCTGCATCCACATGGGAGACTTGGAAGAAGCTCCTGGCTTCAGATTGCCACAGCTCCGGCCCTGGAGGTCATCTGGAGAGTGAACCATCGGACGGAAGACCTCTTTCTGTCTACTCTCTCTGCTTCTCCGTAACTCTTTCAAATAAAATAAATAAATCTTTTAAAAAAATTTACTACCATTTTTAACTATCATTTTTTAAAAAAAATAGTGAAACTGGAGTTTCCCTTTTCATTGCTCCACCCCCTGACAAATGAGGCTAATCACTCTTTTATTCCCCACTTGCGTCAAAAGCCAGAACCCCTGCTCTCATATACATCTTGCTTGAACTATTACCATTGTTTCCTGCCTTTTCTCCCTGCCTAGAGTCTTTTCTCTCCTCAAATTCATCCTTTATGTCAGTGGTAAATTAATCTTCCTAAAACACTGCCCTGATTATTGTCTCTCCAGGCTTTAATATGTTCAGTGGCTGCCTGTTGCAGTCCGGATTAAATAAAATCTCCTTACAGGAATGTTAAGGCCTTCTGGCGTGAGCTGCTTATCTCCCTTTGCAGCCTGGGCCCTGACTGCTCCCCTCTCTGCAGCCTCTGTTGCAGTGAAGGCACCTCACTGCCCTTCATATTCACGACTTACTGTCTCCACACTCTGCTTCTGCCAGCATTTCCCAGACGTTAGTTACACAGATGCAAATAGGTGTTTTCATGAGGAAAGCATTCTATAGTCCAATAAATTGAATGCACACGAAACGTGAAATTCAACCTCTTAGAGATTCACAATACTGCTTAGCATTTTGAAGGGTCTGAGATGTCCTCCAATGAAGAAACCTGTCTAAATCTTTTTAATTTAACTTTCCTAAACTTATTTGAGCATGGAATACTTTATCACAGAACACCTGTTAACATCTCCCAGAAATTGTTTTCATACAACTTGGTTGAGAAATGTTGGCTTATGTTATTCTGTGTCAGAAATGTACTCCCTTAGCCGGCACCGTGGCTCAATAGGCTAATCCTCCACCTTGCGGCGCCGGCACACCGGGTTCTAGTCCCGGTTGGGGCGCCGGATTCTGTCCCGGTTGCCCCTCTTCCAGGCCAGCTCTCTGCTATGGCCAGGGAGTGCAGTGGAGGATGGCCCAGGTGCTTGGGCCCTGCACCCCATGGGAGACCAGGAAAAAGCACCTGGCTCCTGGCTCCTGCCAGGATCAGCGCGGTGCGCCGGCTGCAGCGGCGGCCATTGGAGGGTGAACCAACGGCAAAGGAAGACCTTTCTCTCTCTGTCTCTCTCTCACTGTCCACTCTGCCTGTCAAAAAAAAAAAAAAAAAAAAAAAAGAAATGTACTCCCTTGATCATCTATGCATGTGAGACATGTCCATTTTTTATTTTTTAAGTATTTTATTTATTTATTTATTTGAGAGGTAGAGTTACAAACAGATGAGAGGGAGAGACAAAGAGAAAGGTCTTCCATCTGCTGGTTCACTCCCCAGATGGTCACAATGACCAGAGCTGGGCCAGGCTGAATCGAGGAGCCAGGAGCTTCTTCCAGGTCTCCCACATGGGTACAGGGGCCCAAGGACTTGGACCATCTTCCGCTGCTTTCTCATGCAAATAGCAGGAAGTTGGATTGAAAGTGGAGCAGCCTGGACTCTAACGGGTATCCTTATGAGATGCTGGCGTTGTAGGTGGTTGCTTAACCTGCTGCACCACAACACCAGCTGCAAAATATGTCCTTTAAGGAGAAGGTCACTAAAGCATCTTTTGGAAAGAATCTCCGAAAACTCCATAAGGAAAAGATTCTGAACTTCCAGATCCCTTTTTTTTTTTTTGGCCATTAATATTATATTTCTTTGTGTGCCCTCTCTGTTTCTTCCCCTCAAACAGAAGTACTTGGGACCAGTGTTGTGGTATAGCAGGTGAAAGCTGCCACCTGCAACACCAGCATTCCAAATGGGTACCAGTTTGAATCCCAGTTGCTCTGCTTCCAATCCAGTTCCCTATTAATGCACATAGGAAAGCAGTAGAAGATCACCCAACCTGGGCCCCTGCCACCCATGTGGGAGATGGGAATGAAGCTCCTAGCTGCTGGCTTTGGCCAGGCCTATCACTGACCATCTTTGCGTCCATCTGGAGAGTGAACCAGCAGATGGAAGATCTTTCTCTCTGTAACTATTTCAAAATAAATAAATCAATATTTTTAAAAAAGCACTTTGAGAGTATGAAGGATACTTCAAAAAGTTCACTGAATTATAAAATAATCTTATTTTGGTATAAAATTTTTGAAATTCATGAAACAATTCATGGAAATGCATATTCCAAAAAAAGTACAGGGATTTCAATCATTTTACCTCCAAATAAACTTATTTTTAAATTTCATTTTCCATGAAATTTTTGAAGTACGCTTGTATTTCTTACTCTTCTTCATGGCTCAATTACACTTTGCACAGGGATTTACCACTTATTGGGTAGTTGCTATTTATTGTTAAGTTAGCTATAAAGGTACAGTCACATAGCACTCTCTAATGTACCTGAAATTTTATGAAATATGAAGTTATTCATTTGCCCTATTCAATTCACAGTATATTATTTTAGCCTAATTTAATTGTTCAACTCCTAATTGTTCATGGAAGAGAAGAAAAGACTGATATATTTTCAAAATAAACTTTTAATATAAACATTTGATATTATTTAAATTCATAAGATATGAATTTAACTTGAATAACTTCTTTTAATTTTTTTATTTATTCAAGAGGCAGAGAGAGAGAAAAGACAGAACTGCCTTCTCCTGGTTTACCCCCCAATGTCTGCAACAGCTGACACTAGGCCAGGCCAAAACTGGGAAGCAGGGCCTCAATCTAAATCTTCCACATGGATGACTGGGACCCAATGACTTGAACCATTACCTAATACCTTCTAGGGTCTGCATTAGTAGGAAGCTGAACTCAGGATCTACAGTCAGGAATCCTAGGCACTTCAACAGGAGATGTGGCATTCATTTTAAATTGTATCTTAACCACTCGCCAAAAGTCTGCCACATTTGATAGTTGTACAAATTTTATAATAAATGTGAACTAATAGAGACAAAAAATTGATGCCAAAAATGTATCCTTTTGCTATTTTGCTATTTCTTAACAAAAAGTAAGCCACAAAACTTACAGGATAAATTGCTAATTACATGAACTTTTAATTTTCCCCATGATTTCTTTGCTTGCATTCAAGACTGTGAAAGCCAGGTTGCCTGCTATGTTTTCCTATATTCAAAATAAAATGAGAAGAAGTTTATGTATTTCAGTTCTGGAATGTTGCATTCCAGAAGACAATTGTCAGTGGTTAAGTGTATAAACATTTTACATTTGTATATGTAAATATACACATAAACATTCATATGTGTGATAAAAATATGTGGTGATTGTGCCCTGAATATTATGATCAGTATTTCCATGATCATGTCACCTTTGAGTGTAATAGGTCAGTCCTTTAACTTGATTGTTCCAAATTTGCTTCAGCTTACTTATTTTGTAAAGATATTCCTAAGTTCAAATAGAGTATTCAAAATAGAAAATTTGAATTAATAAAGGTAAGAGGACTTTCTCCTTAAATAAAAATAACACTGTACCAAGGAATTTCATTAGTTTTAAACCTTTTGTTTAGTTAATCTAATTTCATAACTTGATTACAAAAGATGGCTGCTCATTGGTAGCGGTTTCTTAGCAATGTTTATAATTAACAACTCCAATTTTATATTTATTTCTGAAAGTGAACACTTGTGATCAGAAGGAATTTCAAGAAAAGTGTACATATTAACCATTGAAAATGAAGACAGTATGAAACTCAGTGTACTCCTTCATCTGTTTTCCATTTTCATTCGAGAAGGAGCTTGAAGTTACTTTCTTTTATAGCAGTTTTTTTAAAATATTTGTTTATTTATTTGAAAGTCAGAGTTAGAGAGAGAGAGAGAGAGAGAGAGAGATCTTCCATTTGCTATTTCATTCTCCAAATGGCTGCAATGGCCATCACTGAGCCAGGCCAAAGTCAGGAGCCAGGAGCTTCTTGCAGGTCTCCCATGTGGGTGCAGGAGCCCAAGCACATGGGCCATCTTCCACTGATTTTCCCAGGCCATTAGCATGGAGTTAGATTGGAAGTGGAACAACTGGGACTCAATCTGGTGCCGGCATTGCAGGTGGTGGCCAGCCCAAAGTTACTTTTTGATGCTAGAAATAAGTTATACTGTCCTCATAATTCATCCCGTGTTCATTCTTTCTCTTCTTGACAAATGACACCCATTCTTGAAGATATAGTCTGTGGTAGTAGAGGGGAAAGGGTTTATTGGGGAAGAGCAACTTTCAAATCTTAATCATGTTTCAGATGGTATGACCTTTAGTTAGTCATTTAACTGTTTTGTAATTATAGTTTTCTTTTCTGTAAGCAATGAAATAAAGGTGAGCCAAAAATGCCCTATCTACATTAGGTTATAATAAGGATCAAAAGAAATAGTAGGTATAAAAAAAAGTTGATAAGCATATATTGCTATACAAATGGATGCTACTTAGTTTTAATTATTCGTATTAGAAGACAGCTAAGTTAATGGTGCTATGCAGCAGATTCTTTGTTTAAAGCTAATTGGCCCCCAGGGGATTTAAATCCATGACCTTGTCTTAATTATCCTATATTCAAACTAACTAGTCTAACATGCCCAAGCATTATCCAGTATTTCCTCTTTGCATATATTTATAATGAAAAGTAATTTTTCATTATTTTTGGGGACTGTTTTACAAAATCTTGGAGGATGCCTACTTTCCTAGCATTAGCAGAAGAGCTTACTGTCCAGACTTAATTTAACAGAATTCTATGCAATTCTGTTTCATTTACTATTAAAACCTCAACAAATAAATAAATATAATTTCAAAAATTATATAAATTACAAATAATCTTAATCCACATATGTCTATCAATTTGTATTTGTTATGCTATATTATAAGCATTTGAACTTGCATTATTTATACTTCAGGGACATGGACTTTCAAGTTCATCAGGAATTCCAGGCCCTCCTCCACCACCTCCATTGCCAGGTGTTGCACCACCTCCTCCGCCACCACCACCTCTACCTGGAGCAATTCCTCCTCCACCACCTCCTCCTTTACCTAATATTCCACCACCGCCACCTTTGATTGGGATACCTCCTCCACCACCACCCTTTGGAGTAGTTCCTCTTCCACCAGGAGCACCCCTTGATCTACCTTATGGAATGAAACAGAAAAAAATATACAAACCTGAAGTGTCCATGAAGAGAATCAACTGGTCAAAGGTAATACTGTAATTAGAGTTTTTTGAGTTGTCTAACCATGATTGATCATCAGTGTATGAATAACTGCATGGCTTGTATAAATATTGTATGATGTTTGAGACTATGACTTCTGACTATGTTTCTTTGGGAGTTTACCATCCTATGCCCATCTTTCAGCTAACTGTCTAGATAACTAGAAAATCCCCAGATCATTTGACATTTTTGAAGAACACAAAAGTATGACATTTTGAAGAAATCAAAATAGTATAGAGAATAAGATTTAAAATACATCAACAAATAAAAGACAATTCTCATATTTTACCATTATTAAGTCTTTCTTATTGTACTTTGTTATCTTGGTTGTTATTGTTCTTAGAGTGACTTTTTTGAGTTTTTAATTTTCAGCTAGTGTGGAATAGGTGACAATATTCAGTAGTGGTGTAACATAATTTCTTTTAATATGAATGAACATATTTTCTTCTGAATGTTATTTTGCTTTATTGTTAACAAATAATATCTTTATTGCAAAAAGTTATTATAAGGATGAGCACAGTCCACATTCACTAGGAAATAATCTTCTAATTCAAATACATTTATCCAGACCACCATTTTGGGGAAATGACTCCTCCAAGAACATGCATACTATACTATCAAGCAGAGTCTATGTAGTGAAATGGTTTCACCAAAATTATGGTTAAATTATTTTAAAAACCTAAGCATTTACTTTTGCCTTACTCATAAGAGTAAATTAAGATTAAATGATTTTATTTTTAAAAAAGATTTTATTTATTTATTTGAAGGGTAGAGTTACAGATAGAAAGAGGGAAAGACAGAAAGGTCTCCCATCAGCTGGTTCACTCCCCAAATGGCTGCAATGGCTGGAGCTACGCCACCCGAAGCCAGGAGCCAGGATACAGTAGCAAGGAGCCAGGAGCTTCTGGGTCTCCCATGTGGGAACAGGGGCCCAAGCACTTGGGCCATCTTCCACTGCTTTCCCAGGCCATAGCACAGAACTGGATTGGAAGCGGAGCAGCCAGGACTGAAACCGGTGGCCATATGGGATTGCTGGTACCACAAGCGAGGATTAACCTGCTGTGCCACAGCTGTGGCCCCTTAAATGGTTTTAGAATGTAGTTTGTTTAATTAGGCACATTTTACTATAATGGAGGATCCATTAGCTGTTGGCCCACTTATCTGTGTATAAATGTAATATTTACTTGTTTAGCAGTATTGTAATGGTTCTAACATATTAAAGCATTATGATGAACTGGAAAATATACAGTTCTAGTCTTGGAGTTCAGTCTGGTGATTAAGAGCACGATTCTCTGAGGCTAGGGTCCCTGCGCTTTAATTCAAGCTCTGCCATTTACCAATTTAGGCAGACACTTAAGCTTTATGGGGCTCAGGTTCCTCATGTTTAGCATGGGGATAAATATGGGTTTTGTGTGAAACGAATAGTGTGAAGATTAGATAAGTTAATATTTTCAAATCATCTAAAACAGTACCGGTACATCATAGGAGGTATATAATTGTGAGCCATCATTATAGTTGATATATTTAACCTAATCAGAATATGTTGGGAATTCCCTTTTCTGAATCTTATTTTCCCTGTTTTCCAAAATTCAGGGGCAAGAATAATGTATGTGAATTGAGAGAGAAATTTTCTAAATTATTTTTAAGTCTCCTATCAATAGAATTTTTTAAAATGTATTTTGCTATGTGGCCTATTGCTGTTATATACTTTTATGCACACTAATAGAATTCTGAGAGTTTCATAATGAATATTTACTTCAAAAGTGTTATTTTTATAGATGCTAAAATTGATTAGTGGGTTCATGAATAAAGGAACTGTCATTCAACTTTGCTGAAAGTCAATTCTTTGAAAAATTAAATGTAAGTAATAATTTAGAAAGTATTTTTTGTTATTTTTATTTCAGATTGAGCCCAAAGAATTATCTGAGAATTGTTTCTGGTTGAAAGTTAAAGAAGACAAGTTTGAGAATCCAGATCTCTTTGCAAAATTGGCACTGAATTTTGCTACCCAAATGAAAGGTACATTTTATTTTTTTAATATAAATTACAGATTCTGATTGATTCAGTTCAGTAATTTGCTAAAAATTTTCGGTAATGTGTATTTGTATGATTTTCCCACACTAAGGCCAAACATAGATGAATATGTTAACCATATTTCATCCAGTAATTAAATTTTTCCTTCCAATTTTATTTTGCATATTCATCTGAAAATACAGATTATTTTCTATTATTATGTGGACATTATATCACATACTATGGAATTTTCATTTTTACTGAGAAGCAGGGGAGATGAATTTATTGATTTACCATGTAGGAGAAAATAATGTAACAATATCCTAATGGCTTAGAGTTTTTTATGAAATTAGATTAAGATTCGTGCCTTAGTGCTCAAATTGTCTTTCCTCTTAAATTTGTGTTCTTATCAGTTTGGTTTCCTAAAAATCTTATTGTTTTTGTCAGGAATGGATTTTCTGGGTGAATATAAAATATGCCACCTAATAAGTATAGTTTGCTGATCTGATAATGGAGTGCCTTATTTATCATTAGGTCCTTAACTTCTTTGAATTTCACATATAATTTTGATACTATATAAGTAATTTCTCAATCTTATGATTAATCATTGTATTTTATGAATTTTTGGTATTTTATTTCAAGATGACTCAGTAATTATTGCAGACGTGATGGCTCATTTAAACATAGAACTTTTTTAAGCCTGAGTGACTCTTTACAATCAAGATATATATTCTATACTTTCATGCCCTTGGAATTAACACCTTTACCATTCATTTGTCTAATTTGTTACAACATGTCATAGAATGTGAGAATGTGAATTTTGGAAGATTCAGAGAGAGAGAGAAACAGAGAGATCCCTTTTATTATATTTTGTACTCTGGGGATACTTGTGCTCTATTTACTGTTTCTTGTAGATTGAAGTCCACATTCACAAAGAAATATGGGTTGGTTATTAGAGAATTATGAAGAAGATTGGCATTAAAAGAAAATCTTGCCATTGTCTACTTTTTTTTTTTAAATTTGGTATGGTGAACTTCTCTTGTAAAGAGATCTTCAGTGACTCCAAAGATTACTGTTTATTCTAATAATTTTTAAATGGAAAGTTTGTTTATTGCAAAGCATTCATGCCTTTATAGCAAAATATTCATATTCTTAAAAAAATGCACCAGAGAAAATTAGTCTCCCTTCAATCTCAGAATTGCAGCTTTTTCCACATAAAAATTTATTACTAATTTCTCACATTACCTCCTAGCAATAGTCTATGCCTCTTGAAGTATATGTGTATTTATCAGTTTTGTTCATTCTTTGCCATTTGCACTAAATATACTTGGAGATTATCCTATAGGAGCATATGTTCATCTACTGTGTTCTTTTTTACATACCTCATAGAATTTTTGGTGGGGACCTCTCAGTTCATTTAACTAAATTCTCTATTAATGAATATTTAGATTAGTGCCAGACTTTTGCTGTTTCAAGAAATGCTATGGTGAACATGTTACCATAAATACTTATGTTTACATATGTGAAGCGACTTGTAGGATCAATTCTAGAATTGAAATTCCTGGATAAAATGTTGTATACATTTAGAGTTTTCAAATAGACTATGAAATGGTCTTCTAAAGAGTTTCTGTCAATTTATAGTATCACTAAGAATGTATATGAACACACACTGAATATCACTAATCCAGATATCTGAACCAGTTTAAGCACCAACATGATACCACAAGTAGAAAATTTAACGCCTGACTTCATGTGCTCTATCACAGTTAGCACATAGGTGCACTAAAACGTATTGTATAAAATTACCTTCAAATTATGTGTATAAGGTGTATATATGATGCATAAATGAATTTCATGTTTAGACTTGGGTCCCATTCTCAAGATATATTGTATGTATATGCAAATATTCTAAGATTTGAAAAAATATAGAATCTAAAACACCTCTGTTCTCAATCTCTGAACCATAGTTCTTGGTATCCAATAGGTACTTGATAAATGTTAATTCCCTTTTCCTTTTCAGTTCACCTGATGCTGTTGGTGTGTGTATGTGCATTTTGACTTTGTAGTTATTTTTTTAAAGATTTACTTTATTTATTTGACAGGCAGAGTTAGAGAGAGAGGTAGAGACAGAGAGAGGTCTTCCATTTGCTGGTTCACTCCCCAAATGGCCACAATGGCTGGAGCTGCGCCAATCCGAAGCCAGGAGTCAGGAGCTTCCTCTGGGTCTCCCACATGGGTGCAAGGGCCCAAGGACTTGGGCCATCTTCTACTGCTCTCCCAGGCCATAGCAGAGAGCTGGATCAGAAGAAGAGCAGCTGGGACTAGAACAGGCGCCCATATGGGATGCTGGCACTTCAGGCCAGGGTGTTTACCCGCTGCACCACAGCGCCGGCCCCTGGCTGTAGTTATTGACACTTAATATAACTGCTAATTCAGCAAGATAATTTCCTACTTTTTTATGCAGCACTCAGTAGAGCTTATCAGTTACAATGAAGCAATTCTTATTATAGCTGCCAAAACCTCATCAGACCAAGGGAAAACCAAACAAATCATCTCAAGTACTCACTGCCGTTGAATGTGGTGTTTCCATTCCTCTTAACTTTGATGCTCTAGTTTTCTATGTGACCCTGCTTGTACTTGCCTCAACTGCCTTGCCCTGGCTTTTCTAGCTTTAGGGCACCACTTTCTCCCCCAGCCTGATGCTCATTGCAACACACACAGCTGAATTCATAAAGGAGCAACACACCCAGTGTTTCCAAGACTTGTTTCCAAAGCTTTTAGACGCAGTATTCCAGAACCTCTGAGAATTTCCCCCTGTTGCAAGGACAATGGAGAGTTCAGATCTCTCTTCTCACTAAATGCACTGCAAAGCATTACTAGTCTGTGCTTCAGGAAAATATTTACAAATTTAAGGTAGCTTAGAATCGCTAAATAGAACCTTTAAGATACATAACTTCTGAGATTTATAATATTTAAATGTGTAAACATTTAATATGTGTAAGCACCATAAAATTATACTTTCTATGTGCATTACTTATTCTTAAAGTTTTAGAGATGATTTTTTTAAAAAAAATTATTTATGTGTGAGAGAGCTCAATCTTCTATCTGCTGGTTCCCTCCTCAAGTGGCGTCAGTGACTAGGGTAAGGCCACGCTGAAGCCAGGCGCCAGGAACCCCTTCTGAGTCTCCCATGTGGGTGGCAGGGGCCCAAGCACTAGGGCTATCTTCTGCTGCTCTCCCAGGTCATTAGCTGGAAGTGAAGCAGCTAGAACTCAAACCAGCACTCAGATGGAGGCTGCCACCATCACAGGCAGTGGCTTAACCCACTGTTCCACAGTGTTGGCTTGAGACAATTATTTTTGTTTTGGGAGAGATTGGATCTCTCATTTCATTTAGCTCAAGTTTACAGAGTAGCTACTATGTACAAGATACTATTCTAAATGAGAGGGAAACAAATGAATAAATGACTTGTTTGTGCACCAGAGAACTCATAATGTAGCAAGGGAGGTAGTGAAATGAACAGTGTATTTAGTCAAGTTGTAGTAAATCTTAAAATCCTTTTTTTTTTTTTAGAAAATCTTGGGAACACTTAATGGAGATTATTTTGAGTAGTATAAATGGAGATTCCAGAGATTATGTAATTTGAGGTGGGCCTTGAAGTTTAACAAGAATGGCAATACAAAAAGAAGGAAAGATAGCATTCTAGATAGGGAACGCCATTAGCAAAATGTTAGAAGAAAAACTTAAGACAAATTAAATTTAACAGAATTTATTTGAGTAAAGAATGCTTCATTAATCAAGTAGCACTAAGAACTAGAAGAGCTTCAGAGAGCTCCACATAGTGGAGTGAACAATGAGCCTTTAAAAAAAAAAAGGTTTATTTATTTGCAAGTCCAAGTTACACAGAGAGAGAAAGAGAGGCAGAGAGAGAGGTTTTCCATCCACTAGTTCACTCCCCAACTGGCCGCAATGGCCGCTTGGAGCTCTGCCGATCAGAAGCCAGGAGCTAGGAGCTTCTTCTGGGTCTCCCACGGGGGTGCAGGGGCCCAAGGACTTGGGCCATCTTCTACTGCTTTCCCAGGCCATAGCAGAGAGCTGGATCGCAAGTGGAGCAGCTGGGACTTGAATCAGCACCCATATGGGATGCCAGCACTCCAGGCAATGGCTTTTACCTGATACACCACAGCACCAACCCCAACCAATGAGCTTTTAATAAGTTGAACATACATATAGGGTAGAGAAATCATCTCTTTGTTTATAGCTAGTCATCTGCCTTATTTTCGCATGATCTCATTAGTTGCCTGTTCGTGATTGGCTGAAGGTTAGCTATTTGTGATTGGCTGAAATTGAATTTGGTACAAAAAAAAAATGCTCCTAAATTAAGTTTTTGTTTGTTAAGTAAGGACTCAAAGTTCAGAGTCAGGCTAGGGTCAGTGGTCCATGGATTTAATTTAAAGTAAGCATGGGTGATGTACATGCTTTGTATAAACTTAGCAGCCACCTGTTGGATCAGGTTTGTGCAGTGAAGAGCCTGGAGGGTGAAGATGGTAAAGAGAACGTCACATTGAACAATTTGGGTTTATTCTGTAAGCATTGGAGACCAAATAATTTGATGAGTAACACTTGAGCAAGCCTTTGTGGACAGATCCTTCATGGGAATTCACAGGTAGACAATGGATCATTGATTGTAAATGAATATCGGCCAACCAGGAAAGAGATGATAGTTTCTTGACTAATGTGAATTTTCTTTTTAGGTGTTTTAAATTTTATTTGTTTGTTTGTTTGTTTAAGAAAAGAGAGAGAGCAGGGAGTGAGCTAGCGAGAGCACAAGAGCACTCCCTCCTGCTGTTTTCATCTCCTGAATGGCCAAGATAGCTAGAGCTGTGTTGAGGCTGAAGCTAAGAGATGAGAGCTCAGTCCAGGCCTCCTACATGGGTGTCAGGAATCCAATTACTTGAGCAGTACCCTCTGCCTTTCAGGGCCTGCATTGGCAGGAAGCTGGAGTT